CACTGGGGGGAGGGGGCGTCCCACTGCTGCCCACTGGGGGGAGGGGTTCCCACTGCTGCCCACTGGGGGGGAGGGGGCGTCCCACTGCTGCCCATGGGGGAGGGGGCGTCCCACTGCTGCCCATGGGGGAGGGGCGTCCCACTGCTGCCCACTGGGGGGAGGGGGCGTCCCACTGCTGCCCACTGGGGGGAGGGGCTCCCACTGCTGCCCACTGGGGGGAGAGGCGTCCCACTGCTGCCCATGGGGGGGCAGGGCTGGAGAGCTGGACACCTGGTTCATGCAAAGAGGTCTATCTACAACAGCGCTTCATGCGCTCAGTGGTGGCTGCACCCCTCAGGGACCATGGGGCAAAGCTTCCGGCTCCTAGCGCTGTGGCCTGGATTAAGGACGCACACCAGCCGGGCAGCTGTGTGGCGCCGGGGGCTCCTCACAGTGCACTCGCAGGAGAATGGCTGCTGTCAAGAAAAACAAAGCTATGCTCCACTGCCACAGCCCGACATTCAGGGCTCTTCCCTGCGCTGCCCCAGTGCTCTCCCTCTCCCCCAGGGCAACACCACTCTACCCTCCGCTTCCGCGAGTTCATTCAGATTTGACATGAGCATCTGTTTCCACCTCCCTTGTCTAATTCACTCAGCCCAGTATTGTCAAGATTCAGCCAGGTTGCCACAAATGACAAGATGTCTTTCCTTTTCAGGGCTGGGTAATATTTCATTGTGCAGGGGTATACTCACCCACACACTCTTAGCCCTTTGGGTGCCTACAGCCCTTCAGGTCCTTCCATGTTTCAGCTGCAGTAAGCAGGCCACGGAGATGCCTTTCTCACATATACTAGGTATTGGGGCCACGGGCTACGCAGTATTTCCAGCCCTTACCTCTACACTCCTTCCTGGGGGGGGGGGAGGCAGGGAGACCACTGTCCTCTTGACTGCCCTGCAGACCTCCAGCCTTCCCCACGCTCGGGGACCAGCCTCACACAGAGCCATGCCCTCGTGGCCTGGGCCCCAGGATGAGCGCTGGGAAAGGACCAGGCCTGAGAGGGTGCTGGGTGCCACCCCTCTGGAGAAGCCTGGCTGGCAGGCACCCACAGTCAGGAGAGCTGCACACCCGCCCACAGCAGAGCGAGAGGAGCTGTGTGCCACACACAGACGCGCTCAGCTTGTTAACCTAATAGCAGCAGAGGAGGCTCCAGAGCGGCCAATTATGATAGCAGCCACAGGCCCGTTCCCTGGACAGACTCCATGAGGCCTACCCTCCTTCCTGATCACACCTCCTCTAGTGCACTGTCCCAGGGAAGAGGAATCCCACGCTGCGGGGAGGGGGTGGCAGGTGGCACCCTCGGACTCCCCATGGCCAGGGGCCGGGGCACCCAGCACACCGGTTGGGACCCTCGCAGACACAGAGCCCTCCACTGGCCTTTGCCGTGAGCAGGGCGAGCTCTGCTACCTTCTCCAGGTCACAGGCTGTGGGGCACGGAGGATGCTCAGCCTTGCTGGATGGGGCCTGGGCTAGGGGCCTCAGCCTGGGGAGGGCCGCAGAGACCCACCCCAGGCAGGAAGGCTGCGACTTCATCCCACAACTCAGAGCAGCACCAAACTTCAAGCATACCCGTATTTACTTCTAGAATTTACCGTATCCTTTTGGCCCATGGTTGGCTATAGGTCACAGCGCATAAGGTACAGGTATCATAACAAGGCAACACTTAAACACAAGCAACAGTGACATGAAAATCTTTTCTCTAGATATGCCATAGAACAAGGATGCTGCAGCCTAACCTGCCGGAGTTGTAATGTGGCGCTAATAAAGGTACAGCAATTGGATCAAAATCACTCTGACACAAATTCCTGTTAAAAATAGCAACCCAGACATTAAACAGCAAAAAAGAGAAAACTTAAGGCCAGAAAGTGTGGCCAGGATGACAAAGGCCACCTTGCCCCAGAGACAGGATGGGAGGGATGCTTGGCAGCAGTGCCCAGGTGTGGGCAGACCCGGGAACTGGAGGCGGGGTGACTGACAGGTCCTCAGGAGGGAGCCTCTGGCCACAGCCCGGCTGCGTGCTTCCCACGGCTGTGACAAACCACCGGAGCAAGGTTTTATCTGGCTCCGTCTGCCTGGTCACAGTGAGGAAGAACACCAGGATGGCAAGCAGGCGGTGGAGTCAGAGACGGCTGCACCCCTTCCTCCACAGGCCCTGCCTCCTAACAGCCAGTGTAACCTGGGGTGAATTCGGAGCCCCATGGCCAGACACTCCCAGAGGAGGAGCCGTGGCCTCCCTGTAGGAAGACACTCATATCTCACCATTACGCTGGCTTACCACCAAGCACAGTGAGCTAAAATGAGCCAGATACAAGAGCAGAAATCAGGCATTTGACCAATGGTGCAAACGTTGCCCACCTCCTCCCTGCCAGTCCCCTTCCAAATATGGTGGGGAAATAGTTTCACAGGTCTAGAAGACTACGGAAAATGGCGGTCTCCCAAGTGCCTCTACCATCTGAGGACTCTGACGGACAGGCACAAGGGTGCAAGGCTGGCTAGGAGTCAGGTCAGGAGCCAGGTCAGAGCAGGCTGGGCTAGGAGCCAGGTCAGGAGCCAGGTAGAGCAGGCTGCAATGGCCTGCCCATAGCCCCTTTGCCCTCTGCTAGGCGCTCCCCACGCACAAGGAAGGAAGGAGGCCGAGCAGGGGCAGGCCAGGGCCCCTCCTCACACCAACCCAGGAGATCTTGGTGCATGCCACAAGGGATGGAAACTGCCCTCATATCCACAGTCTCAGCCACTTAGGAAAAGTACTGGAAAAGATGCCTGTGAATACCTCAGCAGTAATCAGAGAAGGCAAACGATGGTCACTTCACACAGTAAATGGGTAAAAAAAAGTCTTCATCACCTTCTTGGGTGGGGAATGAGTCTCACTGGCCATGGGAACTGACTGGGAACCATTTTGGCAAATGATGTCAATGATGGCACATGTCTCAAAAACTCAATTTTTACATTTAAACTTGAAAAATCTATGTACAAAAAATGCCATAAATACAACAACACTGTACACTAAATCTACACATCAATCTATCTATTCTCTGTTACAGGTAGGTATAACAGATACTAAAAGTTATATACTATATACACAACTTACACTCAAAAACAGAGTGACGTGTAAATGAAATGAATGTGTATTATGTGTGCTGATGACGTGCTGCGTGACAAGCACAGGAATGATCTCCTTGTGAAAGTCACGTGATGAATGTGGTTGTGATGACTGTTGCACATGAACCATAGTCATGAGCTGTCCATGGTGACACAGGACCCGTGTGGGAGCACACGGAGCTTAACTGCTGTGTATGAAGTAGGGAGGGCAGGTGCTTCATGTGCCATATGCTAGATACGGGAGCAGAGCGCTGAAGCAACTGAGTGACTCGGGGCTGAAGGCAGGGACTGGTGAGCACAGTGGTAGGCCTAGGCCCTGCCACCCCCTTCCCCCAAGCCTGCTCTCTGCCCTGGAGGCGGTGCCCAACCCCTGGGACGCAGGTCTCCTGTGGGGGTCCTCAGGGCTGGGACGCACTGTGGACACAGGCTGCTCGTGACACCTGGCCGGGGGCTCACCCAGGAGCTTCGCCTTGGAGCCTGTGAGACTCCTGCTCGCCTCCCACTGGCAGCAGACCGGGAGCACCACCGTGTATTTAAGGTGTGAGATTTTATTTCATAAAAGTTGCAGCACACGTTCACTCCTGAGCAGCAGTCATCATAGCTCTTGCACTACAAACTACTTTAAAAACACCATTCTTTCCAGCTTCTTATTTGGGACCAAATTATGTGTAGATAATAAATGGTTGCCGAAGCCAAAATCCACAGCCTATAAATAAAGTACACACTTTCATTCAGCGAAACAAGAGGCTCACAGACATGCAACGCATGGCGGCTGTCAGCGATGTGGGCTGGAGACAGTTCCGTACTCTACTCGCTCCCACAGGAGCCCACTGAGGGCACAGAGTCGCACTTCGGGGTCTGACCCTGCACCAGTGATGTGGCCTGGGGCAAACCGAGAAGCCGAGGCAGAGGCCGCTTGCACACAGAGCCGGCCGGGCTGCAGGGAGGGCAGAGGGCGGCTCACAGGCCGGGCTGGCCACATTTAGACCCCAGAGAAAAGCCACCTCACAGCCACACTGTCCCTGTGACCTCTGTCCCACGGAGGTGCCTGAGGGGGCTGCAGGGCATGATCGGGAATCCAGCTGGTGGGCCTCAGGGGAGAGCACTTGCCCAGTAAAAGCCTGGCTGGGCTCCATCCCAGCACCACAAATAAACACAAACCAGAAGCACAGCAGGGGCGGTCACAGCTTACAACTCTCCAGTGTCAGAGCTGGGTGTGACTGCTAGGCACGGGCTCCCAGACATGGGGGAGGAGTGGGAGGGGAAGGAGCTGGGGCACAGGTCTGCGTTGTTCTACATGGAGCAGTGGGAGGGGAAGGAGCTGGGGGTCAGGGGGGCACAGGTCTGGAGTGGGAGGAGAAGGAGCTGGGGGTCATGGGGGCACAGGTCTGGAGTGGGAGGGGAAGGAGCTGGGGGGCACAGGTCTGGAGTGGGAGGGGAAGGAGCTGGGGGTCAGGGGGGCACAGGTCTGGAGTGGGAGGGGAAGGAGCTGGGGGTCAGGGGGGCACAGGTCTGGAGTGGGAGGGGAAGGAGCTGGGGGTCAGGGGGGCACAGGTCTGGAGTGGGAGGGGAAGGAGCTGGGGGTCAGGGGGGCACAGGTCTGGAGTGGGAGGGGAAGGAGCTGGGGCACAGGTCTGTGTTGTTCTACATGGAGCAGTGGGAGGGGAAGGAGCTGGGGGTCAGGGGGGCACAGGTCTGGAGTGGGAGGGGAAGCAGCTGGGGATCGGGGGGCACAGGTCTGGAGTGGGAGGGGAAGCAGCTGGGGGTCAGGGGGGCACAGGTCTGGAGTGGGAGGGGAAGGAGCTGGGGGGAGGCACAGGTCTGCGTTGTTCTGCGTGGAGGAGTGGCACACTGGCCTGGCTGTGAGCACCTGCTCACACAGCTGACAGAGACTGGTCCACGCGTGGGGCGGAATGGCTGCTCTTGTCCCAAGGGCCAAGCTTGGTGGAGGCTGTGCCTGGCTGTGTCCTGTTGATCTGCAAACCACAAGGGAATGAGGCTGAAGGCTGCTCCTGAAAGGAAGAGGTGCAACTCCACATGGCCCCACAAAGCTGTGTGGGGATCCTACCTGGTGAGGCAAAGACCCTGAAGTCCCACAACCTTCCTGAGACAAGACAACAGAGCACCTGAGGACACAGAACACAGTGTCCACAAGAACATGAGCACCAGAGGACATGGACCAGACTGTCCACGAGAACATGAGCACCAGAGGACACGGACCAGAGCATCCACAAGATCATGAGCACAAGAGGCATGGATCAGAGTGTCCACGAGATCATGAGCACGAGAGGACATGGACCAGAGCGTCCACGAGAACATGAGCACCAGAGGACACAGACCAGAGTGTCCACGAGATCATGAGCACTAGAGGACACAGACCAGAGCGTCCACGAGAACATGAACACCAGAGGACACAGACCAGAGTGTCCAAGAGATCATGAGCACCAGAGGACACAGACCAGAGCGTCCACAAGATCATGAACACCAGAGGACACGGACCAGAGTGTCCACGAGAACATGAGCACCAGAGGACACGGATCAGAGCATCCATGAGAACATGAGCACCAGAGGACATGGACCAGAGCATCCATGAGATCATGAGCACCAGAGGATATGGACCAGAGCATCTACGAGATCATGAGCACCAGAGGACATGGACCAGAGCATCCATGAGATCATGAGCACCAGAGGACACGGATCAGAGCTTCCACGAGAACATGAGCACCAGAGGACATGGACCAGAGTGTCCACGAGAACATGAGCACCAGAGGACATGGACCAGAGCATCCACGAGATCATGAGCACCAGAGGACACGGACCAGAGTGTCCACGAGAACATGAGCACCAGAGGACATGGACCAGAGTGTCCATGAGATCATGAGCACCAGAGGACATGGACCAGAGTGTCCATGAGATCATGAGCACCAGAGGACATGGACCAGAGCATCCACGAGATCATGAGCACCAGAGGACATGGACCAGAGCGTCCATGAGATCATGAGCACCAGAGGACACGGACCAGAGTGTCCATGAGATCATGAGCACCAGAGGACACGGACCAGAGCATCCACGAGATCATGAGTACCAGAGGACACGGACCAGAGTGTCCAGGAGATCATGAGCACCAGAGGACACGGACCAGAGTGTCCACGAGATCATGAGCACCAGAGGACACAGACCAGAGTGTCCACGAGAACATGAGCACCAGAGGACACGGACCAGAGTGTCCATGAGAACATGAGCACCAGAGGACATGGACCAGAGCGTCCACGAGATCATGAGCACCAGAGGACACGGACCAGAGCGTCCACGAGATCATGAGCACCAGAGGACATGGACCAGAGTGTCCACGAGAACATGAGCACCAGAGGACACGGACCAGAGTGTCCACGAGATCATGAGCACCAGAGGACACGGAACAGAGTGTCCACGAGATCATGAGCACCAGAGGACATGGACCAGACTGTCCACGAGAACATGAGCACCAGAGGACACAGACCAGAGCGTCCACGAGATCATGAGCACCAGAGGACATGGACCAGAGCGTCCACGAGATCATGAGCACCAGAGGACATGGACCAGAGTGTCCATGAGAACATGAGCACCAGAGGACACGGACCGGACTGTCTGCGAGAACATGAGCACCAGAGGACATGGACCAGAGCATCCACGAGATCATGAGCACCAGAGGACATGGACCAGAGTGTCTATGAGATCATGAGCACCAGAGGACATGGACCAGAGTGTCCAGGAGATCATGAGCACCAGAGGACACGGACCGGACTGTCTGCGAGAACATGAGCACCAGAGGACATGGACCAGAGCATCCACGAGATCATGAGCACCAGAGGTCATGGACCAGAGTGTCTATGAGATCATGAGCACCAGAGGACATGGACCAGAGTGTCCAGGAGATCATGAGCACCAGAGGACACAGACCAGAGCGTCCATGAGATCATGAGCACCAGAGGACACGGACCAGAGCATCCACGAGATCATGAGCACCAGAGGACACAGACCAGAGCGTCCACGAGATCATGAGCACCAGAGGACATGGACCAGAGCGTCCACGAGAACATGAGCACCAGAGGACATGGACCAGAGTGTCCACGAGATCATGAGCACCAGAGGACACGGACCAGAGTGTCCAGGAGATCATGAGCACCAGAGGACACGGACCAGAGCATCCACGAGATCATGAGCACCAGAGGACATGGACCAGAGCGTCCACGAGAACATGAGCACCAAAGGACATGGACCAGAGTGTCCACGAGATCATGAGCACCAGAGGACATGGACCAGAGTGTCCATGAGATCATGAGCACCAGAGGACATGGACCAGAGCGTCCACGAGAACATGAGCACCAGAGGACATGGACCAGAGTGTCCATGAGAACATGAGCACCAGAGGACACGGACCGGACTGTCTGCGAGAACATGAGCACCAGAGGACATGGACCAGAGCATCCACAAAAACATGAGCACCAGAGGTCATGGACCAGAGTGTCTATGAGATCATGAGCACCAGAGGACATGGACCAGAGTGTCCAGGAGATCATGAGCACCAGAGGACACGGACCAGAGTGTCCACGAGAACATGAGCACCAGAGGACACGGACCAGAGTGTCCACGAGAACATGAGCACCAGAGGACATGGACCAGAGCGTCCACGAGATCATGAGCACCAGAGGACATGGACCAGAGCGTCCACGAGATCATGAGCACCAGAGGACATGGACCAGAGCATCCATGAGATCATGAGCACCAGAGGACATGGACCAGAGCATCCACGAGAACATGAACACCAGAGGACACGGACCAGAGTGTCCACGAGAACATGAGCACCAGAGGACATGGACCAGAGCATCCATGAGATCATGAGCACCAGAGGACACGGACCAGAGCATCCACGAGAACATGAACACCAGAGGACACGGACCAGAGTGTCCACGAGAACATGAGCACCAGAGGACATGGACCAGAGCGTCCACGAGAACATGAACACCAGAAGATGTGGACCAGAGTGTCCACGAGATCATGAACACCAGAGGACATGGACCAGAGCATCCACGAGAACATGAACACCAGAGGACATGGACCAGAGCATCCACGAGAACATGAACACCAGAGGACACGGACCAGAGTGTCCACGAGAACATGAACACCAGAGGACACGGACCAGAGTGTCCACGAGAACATGAGCACCAGAGGACATGGACCAGAGCATCCACGAGAACATGAACACCAGAAGATGTGGACCAGAGTGTCCACGAGATCATGAGCACCAGAGGACATGGACCAGAGTGTCCACGAGATCATGAGCACCAGAGGACATGGACCAGAGCATCCATGACATCATGAGCACCAGAGGATATGGACCAGAGTGTCCACGAAAACATGAGCACCAGAGGACATGGACCAGAGTGTCCACGAGAACATGAGCACCAGAGGACATGGACCAGAGCATCCATGAGATCATGAGCACCAGAGGATATGGACCAGAATGTCCATGACATCATGAGCACCAGAGGATATGGACCAGAGTGTCCACGAAAACATGAGCACCAGAGGACATGGACCAGAGTGTCCACGAGAACATGAGCACCAGAAGATGTGGACCAGAGCGTCCTTCACATCCCTCCAGGTTCTGTCTGAACATAGGTACATTCACCTGAGCTACCTTCATGAGCCCACTATGCCAGGCACTATGGTGGTGGGTCAGAGGAGTGGACAAAACCAGCTGAGTCTTTGCTCTCCTGGGTGTGCCTTCCAATGGGGCAGCCAAAGGCTTCCAGCAAATGGATGCCTGGTGGGAACACTTTTACCTATTGTCGCCCCTGAGCAAGGACCTAGAAGGCAGGGGGAGGGTTGCCTGCCAGGTTCTGTCCGCCCCTGCAGGGGTGTGGAGGACAGGAAGCTGTGAGCGGAGCTCTGGGGAGGAGGGGACAGCCTGGGCCCTGGATAGAGAGGCCCACCTGCAGTGCCACGCAGGTCAGGGAGGCTGGAGGGTGGTCCCAAGCCACGCTGCTCTAGGTGGAGGCCACAGCAGAGCTCTGAGGTCTGCAAGGGGCAGGGGCAGGCATGGGGACAGACACCACCAACCAGAGAGAGCAAAGATGGAGCCGCAGCATGCTGCACTCACCACGTCTGAGCTGAAGGGCTTCACATGGCCGTTGCGGGCAGAGCTGCTTGTGAGGGACCAGACCTTGGTTTTGTGCTGGAAGGCAGCTCTCACCTTGGAAGCAGAAGAAAAGAGCTGTTAGAGTGAACTTCAGATGCTGAAGTGGCCACTATCAGAGGCCAGCATAAATGGCTCGGGGAACTTGCTCAGATGCAGTCCCAGGACAGGTTGGAGAAAGGAAATTCCGAGTTCCTCAGGGCAATGTGCCTAGGGAGACAGTATCCACTCTGCCTTCCAGAAAGGAGAATGACTCTGCAGTGTCAGGGGGTAGGATGGACATACCTCTGAATTCAGGAGGCAGTGGAAGAGGAAGATGAAGAGGCCCTAGAAGGGGAAAAATGACATTAGAGCCATTGTGTTCAGTCTCAAGCTCTTCAGGGAGTGGCACTGGCTGGCTGGGGAAAGGGCTTGCTGTGATGGGTGTTGTGGATCCCACCCCGAATCCAGCTGGGCTTTAGTGCCCCACGGCGGGGGGGTGGGGGGGAAGGGGAGGGGTCAGGAGAAGGGGATGTTCAGAGACACTCAAGGCCCTGCTGGGGGTTCAGGGGCACTCAGGGCCCCGCGGGGGGGGGGGGGGCGTGTTCAGAGACACTCAGGGCCCTGCTGGGGGTTCAGGGGCACTCAGGGCCCACTGTGGGGGGTTCAGGCCCAGCTGGGGGCTCAGGGGACTTGAGGCTGCTGCTCCACTGAGGCGTAAGCACAGGGACAGGTGGATCCCCAGAGAGGCTCAAGACTGGGATGGAGATTAGATGCTCAGGACATCAGAGTCCTGCCTAGTGGAGCCTCAACATCCAACACTGCCCACTCTCCTCACAGGCCGGGCTTACGGTAACAACCTAACAGATACAAGAGCAGCTGCAGACTGCTAACGAGGCCCCGCCCAACCCTTCAGGGAGCTCGCTCGCTTTGTGCCCCACTAGCTGCGTCCTGCCAGGGGCCTAGGTCCTGAAGGGGGAAAGGAAAAGGACAAACGGGGTGGGCGGGGCAGCCAGCGTGGGTCAGGACTGGGAGGACTAGCCTGTCACACTTCACAGCAATCAACCCAAGGAACACGGTGCAGGGCTGCTCACTCCCAAGGGAGAGCCAGACACCACTGCCTGTGTAGAGACACAAGGAGAGCGGAGAGGAGGCTGTGCCTCGGGGTGGATGGTGGACTTACATCACCCTTCCTCTGTGGGCCTGTGGGGGTGAGGGCCAAGCTGGTGGCACTCCAGATCTCTGCTTTCCAAGATGGCCCCCATCTGCCTTTCTACCCAAGACACAACCTGGGGTGTCTACTACTAGGCCCCCTGCCCTTCAGGCCAACGCCCCTCCCACCAAGGGGCAGCCATCCTGCAGTCATTGCCCCCAGGGGCTGCTTTTCCAGAACCCCTATGAAGCATGCCTGCTGGACAGCCCCATCCCCAGGCCTTGGGGACACGCTGCACCACAGGCTCAAGAGGGGGTAGAGAGAACCATGGATGGTTTCCCTCCTGCCCCTGGGGTAACCTGCTCAACACACTCACACTCCCCTACGATCAGCAGCCTGTGGCCTGGCCTGGCAGTCAGCAGGCTCTTACCTGCAGGGAGTTAAGGATGGCAAACATGTACTGGAAGACCAAAGCCCGGTCATTGACAGCGAGGACCCCAAACACCCATGAGGTCCCTAGGATGGGCAGCAGCACAACCACAGCCTTTGCTGTCAACCTGCAAGAGACAGCAATGGTCACTCAGGCAAGTGTGTGAGCAGGGTGGACAGCAGGACTGGCCTTGGGTGCCAGTGTCTGCTGGGAGTGAGACCCAGAGTCCTCTGCAGGCCTGGAGGGAGCTCCGGGAGGAACGTGTCCCCAGTCCTGTCCCCTCAGCATTGTTGGGTACAGGAATTCCAGAAAGACACACAGGCTCACATAGCACCAGACCCTGAAGGTTACCCAGGACACCAAAAGAGGCCTGTCCAGGCCCGGTCATGTTGGAACTGTTTGCAAAGATGGGCGGGAAGGGGGGGATTTGGTGGGTACAGAGACAGTGAAGATCCTTCCAGTACCCATAGAGATACTGGAAAGGCCCTGAGGCTCCCTGGCATATTCTACCAGAACTCACATCTGCAATGAGATGATATGGCTGGTCGCAGCATTCTGAGTGGGCTCTCAGAGGACAGGGATCAGAGCAGACGCCAGACGAGTCCTTGCTGAACCACTGCTGGCTGGCCAGCCACCCTTCCCACAGGATGTCTGCTAGCATGCGTTTCTCTCTCCTGCCACTTGTGGCCTCTTGACATTGGTGGGACAGATGGTCTCACACCCCATCCAATGATGGCCATGATGATACCCGTTTTGTCAATGGCAGGAACAGAGAGTATGCAGATGTCCCTACCCCAGGCCAGTGTCAGTGCCCACCTGGACCCCAGAGCCACCTTCGCAGGCAGCTCTGCTCTGTAAACAGAACATCCATGCCTCTCCTGCCAGCTATCTCCCTTCTTGTGCTCTAGGAAACTGGTGGTCCTGCTCTTTTCTCATTGGAAACAGTCTCATCAGGACAGCCAATCATGTTGCCACACTATCCCTGTGGTGGGGGAGGTCATATGACTCAAATCAGCCAATCAGCAAGCTTCTGAACTAAAGGCTCTAGAGCTCCTACAGTGGTCAGTGTCTGCGAGTGACAATTCCTTCCCCTCAGGCTTCTTCAGCTGCCCAGTCTGTGGCTCTTTTGCCAAGGGGTCCGTCCACTTTAGACGCTCCATGAGGCTCGGGGCTACTGGTCATCTCCTAGGACCATTATAGCCAGAGATTCAGCAAGGCAGCACCCTCTCCACGCAAGACTACAGAGAGGCCCAGGCCACCTGTGATGTGTGAGGTACCCTTCCTGCTCACAGGGCGGGCTCCACCTGCTGTGTCATGGCAGCTAGCCTTGGGGCCACTCCCACCCAGTCCAGTCGCCCAGTATAACCTATGAAGAGCGGTCCCAGGCACCAGGAGGAGGGAAGGGAGTGGCGCCAGGGAGCCCAGAGTGCTAGGAGAGATATCCCTTGCTCTAGTGTACCCTCGGCATGCATGTTCCGGGAGACCAGGGGACCGGTCCCCACTGTGCCTGCAGCATGCAGAACAGAGCTCTTGGGACAACTCTCGGTGAATAGCAGTGAGCAGTGAGCAATGCCCAGGCTGTCTGGCTCAGGGCCTCTCCGGTACGCCAAGAAACTGATGACTAATGTCCAATCCATCCTCTTCTGAAACAGATGGGCTTCTTACACTAGAGTACTTACGCATCTGAGCTTTGGCGACAAGCCCAACCAGCAGTGGGGCCTGCTGTCCAGCTCAACAACTGTCACAGGCCTCAGTTTACCCCCAACACATGGCACAGGAGTTTCCCTCTCTAGACTGCAAGGGCGGTAAAGCTTGGACTTGCTCACCCCCTGCTGTCTCACAGGGCGGCAGCCCCTGGGAAGTGACCGCAGAGGATCAAGTGTCGCGTGTGGCACGCAGCATGCAGCACCTCCCCGAGAAGGTGAGCCACAGCTGCAGCGAGGCCCTTGTCACAAACCCTGAGTCCTGGCACTGACAGCTCCTGGCACAGATGCCCAAGGCCTCGGGGAAACAGGTCGGTACAGTGAAAATACCACACCTGTCACTGGGAAGCAGAAATGTCACACATGACCTAGCTCCTGGAGAATCGTGTTTAGATGGAATGGCCACAGATGTGCTCCTTCCACAGGAATGGCTTGGCGGCCCGGGAGGACAGCTCGCCGGGGCTCTGCAGGCTCTCTCGTTAGCACAGCCAAGACCAGCAGCAGCGCTGTGCAGAGTGGAGAAGGGGGCCTGGCCTGGGAGGAGGCTCACTTTCCTCCGGATGTCCCCGGCACCCAACAGGAGGGTCCGGCCCCCACCATGCGCCCCTCCCCCACCATGCGCCCCTCCCCCCACCATGCGCCCCTCCCCTGGGGCTCTTCACCCTCATTCCCACCTCCAGGCCCAAGTCTCATTTCCACACACAAAATGTTCTCTCTTCTGTCTTAGGCATGTGGAACGTGGATCAATAAATTGACTTTTTGTTAAAAGTGAAAGCCACTGTTCAGGCCCTGAGGAGACATCTAGGCCCACAAAAATCCATCAGATTACATCTATGATGGGGGAATTACAGCAGCCAAGGAGCTTCTGTGAGCACCGCCGTTGCTCCCTTCCTGCCAGGCTGCTCTGCGTCCCCAGCCCTGGGGCGCCTGCTGGTGGCACTGAGACCCACTGATGGCACCAGGGGCAGGAGCGCATCCCAGGATGTGGGCACACATGCAAGGAAAGGGGCAAAGTCCGTGGGAACAGGCCGGGATGTACAGCTGTCGGTGTCTACCGGGATGGCTTCCAAGAGGGCCACAGCAGTACAGGGCGCCATGGTGGTGCGAGGGCACCGTGGTGGTACGAGGGTGTGGTGGTGGGTGAGGGCGCCATGTTGGTACGAGGGTGTGGTGGTGGTATGAGGGCACCGTGGTGGTGTGAGGGCACCGTGGTGGTGCGAGGGTGTGGTGGTGGGGTGATGGTGGTGGTGGTGGGTGTGGGGTGTGAGGGTGTGTGTTGGTGGTGTGAGGGTGTGGTGGTGGTGTGAGGGTGTGGTGGTGGTGTGAGGGTGTGGTGGTGGTGTGAGGGGTGTGGTGGTGGTGGTGTGAGGGTGTGGTGGTGGTGGTGTGAGGGTGTGGTGGTGGTGGTGTGAGGGTGTGGTGGTGGTGTGAGGGTGTGGTGGTGGTGTGAGGGTGTGGTGGTGGGGTGAGGGTGTGGTGGTGGGGTGATGGTGTGGTGGTGGTGTGAGGGTGTGGTGGTGGTGTGAGGGTGTGGTGGTGGTGTGAGGGTGTGGTGGTGGTGGTGTGAGGGTGTGGTGGTGGGGTGAGGGTGTGGTGGTGGTGTGAGGGTATGGTGGTGGTGGTGTGAGGGTGTGGTGGTGGTGTGAGGGTGTGGTGGTGGTGTGAGGGTGTGGTGGTGGTGGTGTGAGGGTGTGGCGGTGGTGGTGTGAGGGTGTGGTGGTGGTGGTGTGAGGGTGTGGTGGTGGTGTGAGGGTGTGGTGGTGGTGTGAGGGTGTGGTGGTGGTGTGAGGGTATGGTGGTGGTGGTGTGAGGGTGTGGTGGTGGTGGTGTGAGGGTGTGGTGGTGGTGGTGTGAGGGTGTGGTGGTGGTGTGAGGGTGTGGTGGTGGTGGTGTGAGGGTGTGGTGGTGGTGGGTGTGAGGGTGTGGTGGTGGTGGTGTGAGGGTGTGGTGGTGGTGTGAGGGTGTGGTGGTGGTGTGAGGGTGTGGTGGTGGTGTGAGGGTGTGGTGGTGGTGTGAGGGTATGGTGGTGGTGGTGTGAGGGTGTGGTGGTGGGGTGAGGGTGTGGTGGTGGTGGTGTGAGGGTGTGGTGGTGGTGGTGTGAGGGTGTGGTGGTGGTGTGAGGGTATGGTGGTGGTGGTGTGAGGGGTGTGGTGGTGGGGTGATGGTGTGGTGGTGGTGTGAGGGTGTGGTGGTGGTGTGAGGGTGTGGTGGTGGTGTGGAGGGTGTGGTGGTGGTGGGGTGAGGGTGTGGTGGTGGTGTGAGGGTGTGGTGGTGGTGTGAGGGTGTGGTGGTGGTGGTGTGAGGGTGTGGTGGTGGTGTGAGGGTGTGGTGGTGGTGGTGTGAGGGTGTGGTGGTGGTGTGAGGGTATGGTGGTGGTGGTGTGAGGGTATGGTGGTGGTGTGAGGGTGTGGTGGTGGTGTGAGGGTGTGGTGGTGGTGGGGGTGAGGGTGGTGGTGGTGGTGTGAGGGTGTGGTGGTGGTGGGGTGAGGGTGTGGTGGTGGTGTGAGGGTGTGGTGGTGGTGGTGTGAGGGTGTGGTGGTGGTGGTGTGAGGGTGTGGTGGTGGTGTGAGGGTGTGGTGGTGGTGGTGTGAGGGTGTGGTGGTGGTGGTGTGAGGGTGTGGTGGTGGTGTGAGGGTGTGGTGGTGGTGTGAGGGTGTGGTGGTGGTGTGAGGGTGTGGTGGTGGTGTGAGGGTGTGGTGGTGGTGTGAGGGTGTGGTGGGGTGGTGGGGTGTGGTGGTGGTGTGAGGGTGTGGTGGTGGTGTGAGGGTGTGGTGGTGGTGGTGTGAGGGGTGTGGTGGTGGTGTGAGGGTGTGGTGGTGGTGTGAGGGTATGGTGGTGGTGGTGTGAGGGTGTGGTGGTGGGGTGAGGGTGTGGTGGTGGTGTGAGGGTGTGGTGGTGGTGGGGTGAGGGTTGTGGTGGTGGTGTGAGGGTGTGGTGGTGGTGTGAGGGTGTGGTGGTGGTGTGAGGGTGTGGTGGTGGTGTGAGGGTGTGGTGGTGGTGGTGTGAGGGTATGGTGGTGGTGGTGTGAGGGGTGTGGTGGTGGTGTGAGGGTGTGGTGGTGGTGTGAGGGTGTGGTGGTGGTGGTGTGAGGGTGTGGTGGTGGTGGTGTGAGGGTGTGGTGGTGGTGTGAGGGTGTGGTGGTGGTGGTGTGAGGGTGTGGTGGTGGTGTGAGGGTGTGGTGGTGGTGTGAGGGGTGTGGTGGTGGTGGGTGTGAGGGTGTGGTGGTGGTGTGAGGGTGTGTGGTGGTGGTGTGAGGGTGTGGTGGTGGTGGTGTGAGGGTGTGGTGGTGGTGTGAGGGGTGTGGTGGTGGTGTGAGGGTGTGGTGGTGGTGGTGTGAGGGTGTGGTGGTGGGTGGGGTGAGGGTGTGGTGGTGGTGTGAGGGTGTGGGTGGTGGTGGGGGTGAGGGTGTGGTGGTGGTGTGAGGGTGTGGTGGTGGTGGGGGTGATGGTGTGGTGGTGGTGTGAGGGTGTGGTGGTGGTGTGAGGGTGTGGTGGTGGTGTGAGGGTGTGGTGGTGGTGTGAGGGGGTGTGGTGGTGGTGTGAGGGTGTGGTGGTGGTGGTGTGAGGGTGTGGTGGTGGTGGGTGTGGGTGTGGTGGTGGTGGGGGTGTGGTGGGTGGGGTGAGGGTGTGGTGGTGGTGTGAGGGTGTGGTGGTGGTGTGAGGGTGTGGTGGTGGGTGGTGTGAGGGTGTGGTGGTGGTGTGAGGGGTGTGGTGGTGGTGTGAGGGTGTGGTGGTGGGGTGAGGGGTGTGGGTGGTGGTGGTGGGGTGAGGGTGTGGTGGTGGTGTGAGGGTGTGGTGGTGGTGGTGTGAGGGTGTGGTGGTGGTGTGAGGGTATGGTGGTGGTGGTGTGAGGGTGTGGTGGTGGTGTGAGGGTGTGGTGGTGGTGGTGCGAGGGTGGTGGTGGTGGTGTGAGGGTGGTGGTGGTGGTGGTGCGAGGGGTTGTGGTGGTGGTGTGAGGGTATGGTGGTGGTGGTGTGAGGGTGTGGTGGTGGTGGTGTGAGGGTGTGGTGGTGGTGTGAGGGTGTGGTGGTGGTGGTGTGAGGGTGTGGTGGTGGTGGTGTGAGGGTATGGTGGTGGTGGTGTGAGGGTATGGTGGGTGGTGGTGTGAGGGTGTGGTGGTGGTGTGAGGGTGTGGTGGTGGTGTGAGGGTGTGGTGGTGGTGTGAGGGTGTGGTGGTGGTGTGAGGGTGTGGTGGTGGTGTGAGGGTGTGGTGGTGGTGTGAGGGTGTGGTGGTGGTGTGAGGGTGTGGTGGTGGTGGTGTGAGGGTGTGGTGGTGGTGTGAGGGTGTGGTGGTGGTGTGAGGGTGTGGTGGTGGTGGTGGTGTGAGGGTGTGGTGGTGGTGTGAGGGTATGGTGGTGGGGTGTGAGGGTGTGGTGGTGGTGGTGGTGTGAGGGTGTGGTGGTGGTGTGAGGGTGTGGTGGTGGTGTGAGGGTGTGGTGGTGGTGTGAGGGTATGGTGGTGGTGTGAGGGTGGTGGTGGTGGTGTGAGGGTGTGGGTGGTGGTGTGAGGGTGTGGTGGTGGTGGTGAGGGTGTGGTGGTGGTGTGAGGGGTGGGTGGTGGTGGTGGTGTGAGGGTGTGGGTGGTGGGTGTGAGGGTATGGTGGTGGTGGTGTGAGGGGTGGTGGGGGGTGGGGTGGGTGGTGGTGGTGGTGTGGGTGTGTGGTGGTGGTGTGAGGGTATGGTGGTGGTGGTGTGAGGGTGTGGTGGTGGTGGTGTGAGGGTGTGGTGGTGGTGTGAGGGTGTGGTGGTGGTGGTGTGAGGGTGTGGTGGTGGTGGTGTGAGGGTGTGGTGGTGGTGGTGTGAGGGTGTGGTGGTGGTGTGAGGGTATGGTGGTGGTGTGAGGGTGTGGTGGTGGTGTGAGGGTGTGGTGGTGGTGTGAGGGTATGGTGGTGGTGTGAGGGGTATGGTGGTGGTGGGGTGATAGGGTGGGTGGTGGGGTGTGAGGGTATGGTGGTGGAGTGAGGGTGGTGGTGGGTGAGGTGTGGTGGTGGTGTGAGGGTGTGGTGGTGGTGTGAGGGTGTGGTGGTGGTGGTGTGAGGATGTGGTGGGTGGTGTGAGGGTGTGGTGGTGGTGGTGTGAGGGTGGTGGTGGTGGTGTGAGGGTGTGGTGGTGGTGTGGGGTGAGGGTGTGGTGGTGGTGTGAGGGTGTGGTGGTGGTGTGAGGGTATGGTGGTGGTGGTGTGAGGGTGTGGTGGTGGTGGTGTGAGGGTGTGGTGGTGGTGTGAGGGTGTGGTGGTGGTGGTGTGAGGGTGTGGTGGTGGTGGGTGTGAGGGTGTGGTGGTGGTGGTGTGAGGGTATGGTGGTGGTGGTGTGAGGGTGTGGTGGTGGTGTGAGGGTGTGGTGGTGGTGTGAGGGTATGGTGGTGGTGTGAGGGTATGGTGGTGGTGGTGTGAGGGTATGGTGCTGGTGGTGTGAGGGTGTAGTGGTGGTGTGAGGGTATGGTGGTGGTGTGAGGGTATGGTGGTGGTGGTGTGAGGGTGTGGTGGTGGTGTGAGCGTGTGGTGGTGGTGTGAGGGTGTGGTGGTGGTGTGAGGGTGTGGTGGTGGGTGGTGTGAGGGTGTGGTGGTGGTGTGAGGGTATGGTGGTGGTGTGAGGGTGTGGTGGGTGGTGTGAGGGTGTGGTGGTGGTGGTGTGAGGGTATGGTGGTGGTGTGAGGGTGTGGTGGTGGTGTGAGGGTGTGGTGGTGGTGTGAGGGTGTGGTGGTGGTGGTGTGAGGGTGTGGTGGTGGTGTGAGGGTGTGGTGGTGGTGTGAGGGTGTGGTGGTGGTGGTGTGAGGGTGTGGTGGTGGTGTGAGCGTATGGTGGTGGTGGTGTGAGGGTGTGGTGGTGGTGGTGTGAGGGTATGGTGGTGGTGGTGTGAGGGTGTGGTGGTGGTGTGAGGGTGTGGTGGTGGTGGTGCGAGGGTGTGGTGGTGGTGTGAGGGGTGTGGTGGTGGTGTGAGGGTGTGGTGGTGGTGGTGTGAGGGTGTGGTGGTGGTGTGAGGGTGTGGTGGTGGTGGTGTGAGGGTGTGGTGGTGGTGGTGTGAGGGTATGGTGGTGGTGTGAGGGTGTGGTGGTGGTGTGAGGGTGTGGTGGTGGTGTGAGGGTATGGTGGTGGTGTGAGGGTGTGGTGGTGGTGGTGTGAGGGTATAGTGTTGGTGGTGTGAGGGTGTGGTGGT